GGAACGCCCCCCCCCCCCCGTCAAAAATTATTGTCCACTCCTGCACTAGTCACATGTGGCTATTTGGCTGGTTGGCTTGAACAATAAAAACTCAAAAAATTGTTACATTCAAAACATGTTTTAAATTAAAAAAAAAAATCAGAGAATAAGAAAAAAAGCTTAGAAGATCTTTCTGAGTTCTAAAGCTACTTTGACCTGTCTGCTATATGGAGACTTGCACCAGTTTGCGGAATAGCTTAAATATGCCACTTAGGCTGGAAATCATCATGCATCATTGTAAACTATGGCTGGTATTTCCAGTTACTAGTTTTCCACTGGCATTTATCATCAAAGCCTTTCTGAAAGTACTTCTGAGTTCTCTCTGAGAAATTATTTGTTCTTGTACAAAGCAGCTCAGTTTTCAAGATGGCCAGTCTTCTGGCATTCGTTGAAACCTTCAGTTTAAATACAGGTTCATCATGGGCACACAGTTAGGTTCAAATGTTGGCTATTCAGCAGCCAAAAAATAGTTCAATAAATATAGTGGTGCATATAAACATTTCTTTCAAAAGTGTTTTTTTCCAGCTGGTAATCATAGAATACTAGAACTGGAAGGGACCTCGAGCAGTCATCGAGTCCACTCCCCTGCCCTCATGGCAGGACCAAGCACTGTCTAGATAATCTCTGACTGGTGTTTGTCCAACCTGCTCTTAAATATCTCCAGTGATGGAGACTCCACAACCCCTCTAGGCAATTTATTCCAGTGTTTAACCACCCTGACAGTTTGGAAGTTTTTTCTAATGTCCAACCTAAACTTCCCTTACTGCAATTTAAGCCTATTGCTTCTTGTCCTATCCTCATCTCCCTCCTCCTTGTAACACCTTTTAGATACTTGAAAACCTCCCTTCTCAGTCTTCTCTTTTCCAGACTAAACAAGCCCAGTTCTTTCAGTCTTCCCTCATAGGTCATGTTTTCTAAACCTTTAATTATTGTTCTTCTCTGGACTGTCTCCAATTTCTCCACATCTCTCTTGAAATGTGGTGCCCAGAACTGGTCACAATACTCCAATTAAGGCCTAATCAGCGCTGAGTAGAACAGAAGAATGACTTCTCGTGTCTTGCTCACAACATTCCTGTTAATGCAAATGCATCCCAGAATCATGGTCGCCTTTTTTTGCTGCAGCAGCAGTTTCACACTATTGACTCATGTTTAACTTGTCATCCTCTATGACCCCTAAATCCTTTTCAGCAGTACTCCTTCCTAAACAATCACTCCCCATTCAATGATTAAAGGTTTAGAGAACATGACCTATGAAGCCAGGCTTCGTGAACTGGGCTTGTTTAGTTTGGAAAAACGAAGATTAAGGGGGGACATGATAGTGGTTTTCAAATATCTAAAAGGGTGTCACAAGGAGGAAGGAGAAAATTTGTTTCTCTTGGTTTCTGAGGACAGGACAAGGAGTAATGGGCTTAAAGTGCAGCAGGGGAGGTTTAGATTGGACATTAGGAAAAAATTCCTAACTGTCAGGGTGGTCAAATATTGGAATAAATTGCCAAGGGAGGTGGTGGAATCTCCCTCTCTGGAGATATTTAAGAACAGGTTAGATAGACATCTGTCAGGGATGGTGTAGATGGAGCTTGGTCCTGCCTTGAGGGCGGGGGGCTGGACTCGATGACCTCTTGAGGTCCCTTCCAGTCCTATGATTGTGTGATTCTATCCAGTTTGTTCAGATCATTTTGAATTTTTACCCTATCCTCGAAAGCACTTGCAATCCCTTCCAGCTTGGTATCATCTGCAAATTCAATAATTGTACTCTCTATGCCATTCTAAACAACCAAATCTAGCATATAAGCACACATTTGAAGAAAACAGTTTGAATTGTATTCCTGTTTTTTAAATTTTAAAATAATCTTTAAAAAAAAATTAGCACTTCCAGAGATATTGAATTTTAAAAATTAGGGTACTTTTTGGCCTCCCCAACAATATTGCTTATTTCTGCTTTGTGCTGAAACTGAACAATATTAACTAATTTTTTAGAATTGCATCCATAGATTGTTTTGTTATAATTTGTTATAATTTTGAAGGTGAAAATACTAATCCCGAGTCAAACAGTGCTGAAAACAACAAATCATAGAATCATAGAATCCTAGGGTTGGAAGAGAATCGAGTCCAGCCCCCTGCCCAAAGCAAGATGTATCCCAACTAAATAATTCCAACTATGGCTTTGTCAAACCAGGACTTAAAAACCTCTAGGGATGGAGATTCCACCGCCTCCCTAGGTAACCCATTCCAGTACTTCACCCTCCTAGTGAAATAGTTTTTCCTAATATCCAAACTAGACCTCCCCCTCTGTAACTTGAGACCATTGCTCCTTGTTTTGCCATCAGTCACTACTGAGAACAGCCTCTCTTGTTACCCTTGTTACTAATACTGAGTAAAACAATGCTGAAAACAACAAATCATCGGCAGAATCTGCAGGAAAGAAAAAGAAAGATTAGAAAGACATCAAACGTAAATTTAAAGAGAAATGGGAACTGGAATATGCTTTCATTGAGATGAATGAAAAACCAACGTGTTTTCTGTGTTGTACAATTCTGGCAAATAAGACTGACAATGTATGAAGGCATTTCCAAGGGCAGCATGGTGATTTTGATCCAGTGTATCCTAAAATTGATCAGCTGAAATTGGATTTTGAAAAGCAGCAGAATGTATTGAAGTGGTTTCTATCTTCATCTGAACTGGTAACTTTGGCCAGCTATAAAGCAGTGTGGATACTTGCTTGCAGCAAGTAGCCATTCTCAGATGGAGAAATGGTGAAGGAAATTATTCTCTCTGTCATGGAAACCTTGCTTGAAAATCATAACTGATGAAATATAACATCTTGCAGAGCATTCAAAATTGTCAGCTGAGTCAACAAATAGTTGATATCAAAACCCAGTTGTGTACTGCACTTGATCAGTGTTTGGCCTACTCATTGGCACTTGATGCGTCACAAAACATCAGTGATACTGCTCAGCTCATCTTCTGGATTCGTTTTGTAACAGAAGATTTCCAGAGTCATGAAGAACTACTATGTAGCACTTTAAAGACTAACAAAATAGTTTATTAGGTGATGAGCTTTCGTGGGGCAGACCCACTTCTTCAGATCATATTCTGAAAGTGAATAGACATGACCATTTTATAACAGAGGGATACAATGAAAGAAGGTAAAAAAATTACAAACTGACAATTCAGCTACATAGAACAAAAAGAGGTGAGGGAGGGGAAGCGACAAGGAAGGAGGAAATTGCTTATTGTAAGAGTCAATTAAGCGGCTAATCTGGGGACACCATGAATATCAAAAGGTGAAGAATAGTGATAGAAATGTAGCTGTGTTAGTCTGGTGTAGCTGAAACAAAATACAGGACTATGTAGCACTTTAAAGACTAACAAGAAGGTTTATTAGATGAACCATCTTGTTAGTCTTTAAAGTGCTACATAGTCCTGTAAAAGGTGAGGAGGCTGTCTTTGTAATGTGTAAGACAATTACAATCTCAATTAAGGCCCATTTGCAATGTATTGAATTTTAGCATAAATAAAATTTCTGAGGTCTCCCTCTGTAATCTGGTGTTAAAGTCTCTTTGTTGTAAGACGTATGTTGTCAGGTCTTTAAGAGAATGACCAATTTGATTGAAATGCTGGCTGACAGGTTTGTGTGCGGGGAGATTTCTGATGTCTGATCTGTGAGCATTAATTCTTTGGTGAAGTGACTGACCAGTTTGTCCAATATACATCACATTGTTGGCACATAATGGCATATATCCATTATGGCAAATGTCCATTACTGGACATACAGGAATGTGAGCCCTTGATCGTATAAGTGATGTGGTTAGGCCCAGTGATAGTGTCTCCAGAGTAAATATGTAGACAAAACTGGCAACCGGGTTTGTTGCAAGGGAAAATTCCAGGGTTAGTTTTATTTTGGTATGCCCTGTGGTTATTAGTGAGAATCTTCCTGAGGTTAGGTGGCTGTCTATAGGAGAGTATTGGTCTGTCACCCAGAGCCTCTTGAAATGTAGCATCATGTTCCAGTATAGACAACCACCTAACCTCAGGAAGATGTACCGATGTGGTTGCCTCATCTCAAAAACTATCTATTGGCACTGGAAAAGGTTCAAAAAAGGGCAACAAAAATTATTAGAGGTTTGGAACGGGTCCCATATGAAGAGAGATTAAAAAGACTGGTACTTTTCAGCTTAAAAAAGAGGAGACTAAGGGGGAATATGATAGAGGTCTATAAAATCATGACTGGTGTGGAAAAAGGTGAAGAAGGAAAAGTTATTTACTTGTTCCCATAACATAAGACCTAAGGGTCATCAAATGAAATTAATAGGTAGCAGGTTTAAAACAAACAAAAGGAAGTTTTTTCTTCATTCACCACACAGACAACCTGTGGAACTGCTTGCCAGAGGATGCTGTGTAGACCAGGACTTTTAACGGGATTCAAAAAAGTGCTAGATAAATTCATGGAAGATAGGTCCATCAATACTTCTTAGCCCGAATTGGTAGGCATGGTGTCCCTAGCCTCTGTTTGTCAGAGGCTGGAAATGGATGACAGGAGAGGGATCACTTGATGATGACTTGTTCTGTTCACTCTCTCTGGGACATCTGGCATTGGCCACTGTTGGAAGACAGGATGCTGGGCTAGATGGACCTTTGGTCTTACCCAGTAAGTTGGTTCTTATGTTCAGTCTAAAGGATGTGGATGCATTGGAGAGAATCCTGCAGAGGGCAACAAAAATGATTGGGGGCTGGAAGTTCCAGCTTGAGAAAGCCCTGGCTGGGATGATTTAGTTGGGATTTGTCCTGCTTTTAGTAGGGGGTTGGACTCGATGACCTTGAGGTCTCTTCCGACCCTATGATTCTATGATTGAGTCCCATCTCACAGTTGTGCTTTCCCCACACACAACCAGGGCGCTGGTATATCCAAGAAGGCTGGCTCATGGAGGTGCCTGCGAAGGGTGAAGAAGTGAAGCGTAAGATGTTCTTCCTCTTCTCCGATATCTTGGTTGCAACAAAGCCATGCCACCCACTACATCCTCTGAACTCGGACAAGTTTGCTTGCCAGGCAGTCTATCCACTTAACCAATGCACACTGGATAAAGTGTTTGGCCACACCCAGAGCCAGGGAGGACTGCTCAGTGTAAGTTTCTCTCAGTTTCTGGCTGCAGCTCCAACAGCCCTCATTCCTTCCTCCCTTGCACAAACAACCTGATCTAAAATAGAAAGACTGTGAGAGAGTCCCCATGGTTGAGGCAGTGATGGGGAGCACCCCACAGGTCAAAATAATGGAAATGATAAATATGAAGAGCTAGATTCTGATAGGCTTCACTGCAGACTCAAGAGTGAGAGTGTGAAGAGCCCAGATCACCCCTGTGGGAGGCACAGTCACTTTCTGACCTCCCTGGTGTGCAGGATACATAGGGGCATAGCCCCTGACCTTCTTAGGAGCATATGTAGGAATCATTGCCTGGGAGGGCTCTGCTTTTGAAATTTTAAGCACTTACACTTATATGCAGGGCTCACCAAACCGCGGCGAGCCCTGCTTGCCAGCCACGCTGTCCGGTGATCTGCGCCTATGCAGATCGTTCTGCGCATGCACAGATTGCCCGAACCCGGCTCTTCCGGGTTGCAGTCTACTCGCTACGGGTGAGTAGATTGTATTATTTGTCGAGCCGTGCTTATATGTAATTAATCACATTTTGACATCCCTAGTCTGTTTCTCTGCCCATGTAGCCAGGAGCTGGACAGTGCTGTTGTTTTTCTATTGCAAAGGGAAGATCACAGAAATGTGTAGGATAGGATAAGTCATAAGGCAATGGCCCATGTAATGCTGGTTATCTGTGGCAGGGCTGCTGTCTGGAACAAAGGAAATGTTAAAGATGGGTGTTGGATTCAATGACTTTATCCTTTTGTTTTTTCCCACTGAAACATCTGGCACTTGCAGCTGCTGGGTGGCGTGATACTAATCTAGATGGATCATTGGTCTGAGCTAGTTGGCATTGGTCCTGCCTTGGGCAGGGGGCTGGACGTGATGACCTCCTGAGGTCTCTTCCAGCTCTATGATTCTAGTATAGCTATTTTAATGTTCTCTTCTCTTTCAGCTGATCTTTCCCCACAAAACCCTGCTGCTGATGTCAAGCAACCAGGAGGACATTAACAACTGGTATCTGAATCTCACAACTGCTATCAGGTAGACTATTGTCTGCATTCTGCTGTTTTTCTCTTGGCGTGTACTTGTGGGGTAAGAGGTGGGACAGTGCATAGAAGTGAACATGTGGGCTTCTGGAAGTGTACCCATGAGATGAGTAGCTATAGCACCTGATTGATTGTGGGAAGGGGCCTTTAACTCTTAGAACAAGCCTTAAAAGGAGTAGTTTCATGATGTGGCAGAAAGTTAGAATGGGTTTTTCCTCCTTTGCTCTCCACAGGCGGCTGCAAGCCAGGCCCACTCCTGTACACCAGAAGGAGGACCTGACAGAACAACCTGTCAGCTCAACAGAGGCCCCCACAGTCCAGGAAATGTGCCAGGATTTTTAAGAGCATAGGTTTGTGTATTGTGGGGATACACACAGACTGACCCTAATGTGACAGACTATACCCATGTGTTCATGCTCTACACGCTACCATAATAATATCTGTGCAGGTATACCTTGTAAG